AAAAAAAAATACACATTAATGTCTCTTAATTGCGGATCCAGTTAATTAAATATTGTAGTCCTGCTCATTGTAACAATAATACATATAATATAACCCATCACAGTGTGGTGAAATTTATAGAATATAATATTTAGAAGGAACTTGCATTTTGTGTTCATACTGGCAGCCCCTCGTGGACAGAAGTTTTTTTTTTTTTTTTCATGTAGGTCATATGGATCATACATCAGTATTAAACTGAAATATAAACCAGTTAAAAACTCCTATGTTTTACCTAGAACGACTTGGGATTGCCGTTGCGGATGATATGTACTCGCCTTGACTTCCCTGGTCTAACATCCTTCCTACATATTCACTTTTCTTTCCTCTCTGGCGCCACTGCTTCATTTCAGTATCACACTAACAAATATCACTCTTCACACAATGTGTTCGTTTCAGAGATTTTACTTTCAGTCTCTTTCTGTCTCTGTGCCTTCAGTGTGTGCGTCTCGCTGCCAGAAGTTCCTGATCTCACGGGTAGGGGAGGACTGGATCTTCCTCATTCTGCTGGGTCTGCTCATGGCTCTGGTCAGCTGGGTCATGGACTACGCCATCGCCTTCTGCCAAGAAGGTAGGAAAGAGCCAGAGAGCCAGGAAGAGAGACAAAAGAGTCACAAAGACAGATGGATAGACAGACAGTGAATAATGGACTGTTCTCACAGAGGCAGCAAAGTTGTAAAAGTGTTAATCACCGAGGGGTCGTGCTTTATAATATGTTGTCAGGTATGGAAGTAGATAGTAAAATATTAATACAAATTGACCATCATTCTGCCACCGAGTCATATTGATCTTGAACAGAAGCTAACAAAGTGGCTTTCATTAATATTTAAAAGATCAAAACATACAGTTTCTTCTCCCACAAAGCACCAGTCTTAACACCGACACATGAATTAATTCCCCAGGTGCTGGTTTTCAATACTGATACTGAACTATAAAGAACATTTTGAATAATAAAATCCTCTGAAATGATTAACCTTTAGTAAGATCATATCTTCTTACACAGATAACTGTTCATATACTAATTATTTAACAGCTATAGTTACTAGTTTTTACATAGACAGACACATGTCGAACAGTGCATTGTTACAAATGGTTTCATTTAAATAACAGTTTGAAGGCCAAAGATGTAAAAACATTCAATATTTGACCTGAAAGCAAAGATTAGAGACAATTTACCCCCAAATTAGTTCAAATTTGTGGTGCATAACATGTTTTTTTTCCCTCTTTCCTACCCCATTAATCATCTGTCAAACCCTCAGATTTATCTTGTTAACCTTTGGAGGGGCCTGTCCTTTCGTTTGCTGTTGGACTAAACTACCAAACTGTACATAGAATACTTAAAACTCCACGTTGACCAGCTACAATAATAAAATGCTATTTATACTGTTTCATTAGCATTAACAATCTAACATAACAATATATTGCAATGGGGCAGTTTTTAGTAGAATACTTTAACTTTTGTATATTGTTTTAATCTAATAGTAGGTAGATAAGTAGAGTTATTGGTTTTTGAATACATTCACACACTTCTTCCTCCACTGAAAGAGAGATAGATCCTCTGCTGTATTTTTTTAAATGGTAAATTTGATAATAGAGAGAACTAAATAATGAATGAGGAGGAGGAGGCCACTGAGCTGCTAAAGGATGAATAAAAATGCATGAATAAGGAAGAGGTGGAACAAAAAATGGAGGGAAGGTCAAAGGGAGGTAATGAAGAGCAGAGGAATCGAGTTAATCTGCTCACAACAGATACATCTTGATAGATGGTCAAACTGGTTGTTAAATTGTTTAGATTTCTACCACATTATACTGAGATGAAGTTACTTGTGTGTGTGCGTGTGTGTGTGTGTGTGTGTGTGTGTGTGCAGCACAGAAGTGGATGTATGCTGGACTGGACAGTAACCTCCTTCTGCAGTACATCGCCTGGGTCACCTACCCTGTAGTGCTCATCACTTTCTCAGCAGGATTCACACAGATACTGTCGCCTCAGGCTGTGGGTAAGACACACACACACCCACACACACACACACCCGCACACACACACACACAAATTTAAACAATTTATGCACAAACATATGTATTCCAATCTCTAATTCATGGTCACATTTCCCTATTTGAATAATGTAATTGGCTCCATAATGCGCCATAAGGCCTCCAAGGACATGTTCTGTACGTCTCTTAGTGGTCACGTCTGCAGGAAATCCATAAAATATATCTCTGATGCGATGCGCATACAGAAAACTACATGAATATCAATCAGCCTTCCCCTCACCCATCCCCCTTGCTTCTCATTCATACTCTTCACCCCTCTCTCACTGTAATTGCTTTCTTTCAACTCTTCTTTTCTCTCCACTCCATCATCCCACCTGGCACCTCTTTCTTTTCATTTCTCAGGTTCAGGTATTCCAGAGATGAAGACGATCCTGCGGGGCGTGGTCCTGAAGGAGTACCTGACCTTTAAGACGTTTGTGGCCAAAGTCATTGGTCTGACCTGTGCTTTGGGCAGTGGGATGCCTCTGGGGAAGGAGGTAGAGGGTTGTATTTTTCCTTCATCTCCTCCCATCACAGTCTTTTTGGCTGTTACAATTTACACATGACGGATTGCTTGACTGTTTCCTGTTGGGAGGGTATAATCTTGCTTCTTCAAGTCTCATTAAAGTCATGGCTGGGAAAATAAATAAGTGATTACTGCTAATAATACTTGCATTTCCCATTTGTGGGGTTATAAAGTTGTTTGAATCTGAGCAGGGTTTAATCACACAAGGTCTTTGAGTAATGCCCCTGAACTTGAGTACATCGTGCTCCACTCAGTAATAAAATGTGCTTTTAGTCTACTAACATCCTGATCTCTCTCTCTCCCCATCCTCTCTCTCAGGGACCCTTTGTTCATGTTGCCAGTCTGTGCGCCGCTCTCTTGAGCAAATTCATGGCTGCTCTGTTTGGTGGGATTTTCATGGTGAAAATGGTAACTACAATAAAAAAGGAATTCATTTTCCACACACACACACACACTGACACACAAATACAAACTTGTTTTGGGTTCTTGTATTAACTATCATTATTAACTATCAACTTCTTAGTAGTAGTATTATTATTATGTATGGTAAAATGTGGTGAAATGTGTGTTAACAGTTGGTTATGTGAAAATGCAAAAATGTCTTCTAACTTAACAGTTCAAGTTCAGAGTGACACTACAAGCCAACAACAACAACAACAACAACAAATTCTCAAATCCAACATCACATTACAGATAGCAGCTGTAAAGGAATAGTTCAACCATTTTAGGACATTTTGCTTTATGAGTGAGACGAGAGGATTGATATCACCTTCATGTCTGTGCTTTAAACAATGAATCCACTTAAGGTTACACTTCGATACATCTCTGGTCAGTCACACACTTCTCCTCATTGTCTGCATCATCTACTTATGCATCATGATTTTTTTTCAGAATGACACAACAACTTGAACTCGTTCCAAATTATTAAAAGTGAATTGTGCTACATGATGGATGTTTTAAAGGTTTGGTTTCGGGAATCATCACAGTTACATGGTATACGTCTTAAAAGACTCGAGGGAAGTTTCATTATGACCAAAGCTGCCCAGTACAAAGTTTCGGGCCACCTTTGGGGGACCATCATGTTTCAAGCCCACTTCTTTAACCTTTAGACCACCACTGCTCCAGTAATGCTCTATTAATCATAGTTTCTATAAAGACATTCTTTCCGTTGATATTTACCACTGATGATCTCTGTAGTTAAAAAATTTTTGCCATCAAAATTAATTCTAGTTACTCTGGAAATACCGTGTCTCAACATTACTCTTGTTGCCCGTGTTGAACCATAGATTGTATGATAACAGTGGACATAGACTCCATGAGGTCAGCCAGAGGATTCTGGAGAGCTCAGTGAGGACTGTCTGCGCCATGTTGGCAGTCCTGACTCCACTAGCTCCCAGCAAATCCAAAACTGGGCAAATACGTGGAGAGTCGGTGGACCTTTCACTCAAAGCAGCCACGCCGTTAATTATGAATAACTTTAAGCCTTAATATAATTAAAACGGGTGAGTTACATCAAAATTCAAACCCCGTCCTTGTAGGTTTGTGAAGCTGCAAGAAAAACACAATCACAGTTGTTCTTTAAAAAGCCTTTGATGTTTCCTTGACTTTCTGCCATTCCCCAGGACACACTCTCACCTCCACTCATGTGAGACCACACCCTGGGCTTCTGTCCATTTCTGCTCTGGCCATGTGCGCTGTGCTTCTCCTCCACGTACCGACAGCACCCGCATCGGCATCAGTACGGAGGAAGATAGACTGCAGTGACGTGGAGGAAGAAAACTGCTGTCAGCACAGTTAGAAAGACTGAAAGTAGTCCAGGGGTCAACTTTGCAGCCATTAAACATAATCATTCTGGGAACATGTTAATTCACTTCACTGTGGAATCAAGACTGTGTTTGCTGAAGCTCATTCTCAGCTTGTTTAATTTGGTGTGGTTTGGATAATAAGTTGGATGTCTTCCAGCAGCGGAAATAAAAGGTAACCTCTACACTCTACATAGATTGCACTCACACATATTTCTGTCTTTTTTTCCTTTACCTTCACTGCTAAAGGACGAGCCCTTTGAGGGAAGCAAGGTATGAATGCACGAGTCAGATAGTTTCTTTATTGCCAGTTCCATCAACATTAATAATCCATGCTGTCCATTTCAGAAACTGAGATAGATTGATGCCTTTCCATTTGTCCGCGCTGTTGGATTCTGTTCAGTGAACCGTCACAGCGGGGCATCGATCTGTGCTGCCATTGCTTCTGTACAAACATCTCATCCCCACGAATTCAACACTCAATCCTGGGTTTTCAATTATGGCCTCCCATATCCCACCGCTAATATGTGTAATCTCATCGAATGGGAAAAGATACAGCTGCAGCTTTACAGCAAAACTGTTGCATTTGTAAACAGTTGGTGACTTTTTGGTGGGTTTTTTTCATGAGAAATGCATTTGTTGTGTATTGTGTGTTTGTGGCATTTGCACGCACATGTACTGTGTACCTGTTGGGATTTGAGCGTGTGTGTGTGTGTCTGTGTGTTTGCTTGAATGTGTGGCTCTGTGTACGTGTGTGTATGTCTATTTGTGTGTATATCTGATTCTTGTCGGACAGAACGAGCTGAGGAACACAGAGATGCTGTCGGCCGCCTGTGCAGTGGGTGTGGGCTGCTGCTTCGCCGCCCCTATTGGAGGTAAGACAACGTGGCTGCAGCCTCTGATTGAATGCTATCTAATTATGGTTAGATAATTACAGGAGATAATTAGATGAGGAGAAAATTTACCCCGCTAGCAGTGCCAATCTTGGTCAGTCCATCCATCTAACTGTGATTCAGAGCAACATTTTGTATCTCGGCAACTATTTGTCAGATTAACATAACATTTGGCACAAATATTCAACCTTGCAACTTTACTGTTTTGATTCATTCTCACGGCTCTCACAGTGTCGTCTCCGGTCGCAATAGGCAACTGTTTTCAGTGAACTCATTTTCTTTAGATATAATGCAGTTCCTTCATACCTATCATTCACTCTACCTGGCTCAACTACCCCAAATAGCACAGTGAAGGTAAAGGGGAAAATCCATATTTAAAACTGAAAACTCAAATAAATGATCCCAAAAAGTTACATATGACATTGGAAGAAAGTATTTTTAATATTTTTTGTAATTTAGTGGGAGAGAAGTGCACTCTATGCACAAATTTGAATTGTATTAAAGTATGACGTGAAGCTTTCTTGAGGCTCTTTTCTTAACGCAACAGTTACAGTTTTAATTGAAATGACACATTGGCCGAAGAGTAACGAAAATACAAGTGTGTTGTTTTTCATTCCAACAACATTAAGCAGGATTTCACTGTAATGTGTGTTTCTATTCTGGTGTGCAGAGTAGAATCAATCACAGGAAGCATGTGAGGTGTTAGACAGTGTTTCGTTAACTCATTGTAAGGTGTGAGGCATGTTAAAGATGATGGCAGTGACGTGCTTGTAAATGTGGAAGACTTGAGAATTATGTGTTGATGTTGCCAAATGAAGCAGACAGGGTTGGACTGTAAAGATACGCTCTATTATATTTGACGAAGATTAGACCGAGAAATGGCTATTTAAAACCTTTCTTGTATAAAGTGTGTGAGTGGGACTGTCTTATGAGCGTGTTTGGTTGTGTGTTGCAGGGGTGCTGTTCAGTATTGAGGTCACTTCAACGTTTTTTGCGGTGAGAAACTACTGGAGGGGCTTCTTTGCCGCCACCTTCAGTGCTTTCATATTCAGAGTGCTGGCAGTGTGGAACAAGGAGGAAGGTAAAAGTCCTTATTCCACCTTTTTAATAACAGTTTTCTGCGTTTGTTTGTGACTTTACCCGTGCTTAAATGTTTCTTCTCTGTTGTCTGGACTGATGATAATTAAAATCTCTCATAATATTACATCTGACAAAAGTTAGGGAATATTATTTTAAAAGGGCGGCCTCAGGTAGCTCAGGTGGTAGAGAGGGTTGTACACTGATTGCAAGATTGGTGGTTCGAGCCTTACCTCCTGTCCACATGTCAAAGTGTCCTTGGGCAAGACACTGAACCCCAGTCTGTTTTCCAGCCACAAGCCCAGATAAATGGGGAGGTTTGCATCAGGAAGTGCATCCAGTATAAAAAAGCATTTGCCAAACATAGACCAGCAGATGAAACACTGTGGCATACAAGCTAATAGCTAGAAGAAAAAAAAAGTTTTAATTCCACAGAATATGTGACTTTATGACCAAAAAAGACGAGCGGTCAGACTTGTATTTTGCTTTGAGATCAATAAGTCATACCCAAAAAGCAGCAGGACGCTGATTGCCTGACAGCTAGAAGCAGCCCTGCTATATATATGTGAGCTGCCATTTGGTTTTTTCATGCCCTGAAGAAGACTGTGAGTCAAAACGAGTAGGTGTTAATCCCATTTATTAAGGGCTTTATAATTTTTGCAAAGCAGTGTGCCTTGGTATTTTTTTTTTGGGTTATGACTTATTGATCACAAAGCAACATGCAAGTCTGACCTCTTTTCTTTTTTATTCTCATGATATGTCTATTCCAAAGAACACCTGTTTTTAGATACCTCTTTGGCCTTTATACTGGCATTTGCTCCCTCTAGATACGTGACTATTTATTAGCAGATATTTCAATACAGTATATCAATATAAACATTTATGTTGTGTTTAGTGTCGAGTCCCTTTCGAAAGTCAGTGTATTATATGTACATTTCTGTAACTGATGTATTGCTGCACCGTCTGCACAGAGTGAGAACAATTTTCTTTTTTCCTCAGAGACCATCACTGCTCTCTTTAAGACCCGTTTCCGTCTGGACTTCCCGTTTGACCTTCAGGAGCTGCCAGCATTCGCCATCCTCGGGTGAGTGGGTTTTTTTGGACTGACGCCACATTAAACTGATCCCTGAGCAGTTTGGCGCCTGAGTTACTGAAGAGATCAGAGCTCTCATTCAGCCTCTCTCTCTCTCTCTATAGTCTCCTTCTAGTCACATTCACATTCCTGTTGAGAGTCTGAAGGTTGATTTGTATTCGATGAACGCAGCATGAAATTAACTTTTTACTCGGCTGATTATGAGTAAAAGCTGTAGAGAATAAACAAAAACAATAAATTAACAAGGTTTGGCTTTCTGTCAAAGAACCTCAGTAACTAACTTAACGGCAGGAAAAGTGTAGATGTATTTCAGAGGCAGCGTGATTCCTTTTCACTGTTGCTGGCTTTGTTTTGTCCCAGGATGCTCTACTGTTTCTACACAGTGTGGTCTTTTCTGTTTGTAGGATTGCCTGTGGTTTTGGTGGCGCTCTGTTTGTCTACCTGAACCGGCTGATTGTGGAGTGCATGAGGAAACAGAAGACTATCAACAAGTTTCTCCTGAGGAAGTGAGTATCTGGCACCTGACGTTACACAGAACTTTGACACTTCAACATTTTGGGCAATGCGCGTTGCTTTCAAGCCAAGACATAAATGAGAGCATCGATACCAGATTGTATGGTTAGCTTAGCTTAGGGAAACTGCTAGCCTGACTCCGTCTGGAGGCAACAAAATCCTCCTACCAGCACCTTTTAAAGCTTAATAATTAACACTTTATATTATGGATGTTATATCTGTAAGTGTAAAAACAAGAAATTATGTTTTTTATGGTGATTATGACTGCCAGCCAAGAAATTTCCTTAAAGCCACAACTCGTCTAGTTTTTGTACGAATAAACCAAATAAGATATAATGTGATAATTAGTGAGCTTTAGAGGTTCTGGTAAGTGGCTTTTGTCACCTTTGGACAGAATCAGGTCAGTGTTTGAGCTAAGCTAACTGGCTGCTCAATATGGACCAATATGTGGGACAAATACGAGAGTCATATCGATCTTCTTATCTAACTCTCGGCAAAAGAGCGAATCACTATATTTATGGAAGCCATGAGAGGCAAGTGAGTAAAAAAAAAAAAATCGTACTTATTTTTGTAATCTGATCTAAATAGTTTTATGTTCTATTTATGATTTAAGAGCATGTGAAATAAGGTGGGAATAAAGTTTTGGCAGGTTTTTCCTGGAAGGATAATTTGGTTGTTGTTGTTACGTTCAGTGTTTGGTTTGTCCATTCTGGACAATGATAGAAATATGGCGGCCTTCATAGAAGAGGACCCGCTCTAAAGATAGTCTGTAAATTATAAT